ATTTGTTGTGTCCAAATTCGTAGGATATCCAGTTTATGCTGGAGCGCACTCTGACACAAACTGGAGCTTTCATAAATTGGGAGCGCCAGAGCAGCGCACTCTCAGGGTGGCAGAGCGCACTCTGGACACTCTGTCTGTGGCGGCGGGCATACCACAATGAGGAAATACAATCTGCAGCTCGAGCAACAGCCCCAGAGCGAGTGAAAATCTGCTGGATGATGCGTTTCGCTGGCAAATGAGCAGGAAGATCTGTGCGCATTATCATGACACAGAGCCGGTCTAACACTTCAACCTGCATGTCTGGTGGTCGAGCTCCAGAGGAAGCTGAACGTGGAGGCCGGAGTCATGAAGAGAAAACACTTCCTCCTCTGCAGACAGCTGGTGTTTCACAGCCACGAGCTGAAATGTGTTTTTACTTGTATATTTAATATCCACTGAGAGTTAGTGTGACACAGCGATGATCCATTTTTAATTATCAGACTTTAATTAACAGGACAAACAAGTGTAAGTGTAAAAACTGTGAAAAAACTCACACTTAAAAAAACAGCAGCTAAAAAAAGAAAGAACAAAAACGGCAGCGCAAAGAACATCTTAAAATACGCCACATTTATATTTGTGAGGAATCAGAGTTCCATTTAACACGACTTTATACACCTACTGCTCCACATCTGAGGCTAATGTCCATTTATTTACTACATCTATCTATCTGATAAGTTTCTTTCCAGATTCAGATCATAAATATAAAATATAAACTAATAAATGGTGATGTATTATCACAGATGAATCCACCCAGCTGTATATAAAGTCATTAAAATGAGCTCTGTCTTCACCAGCTGCAACATTAAAGTGATGAACACATTAATGTATCAATAAATATAATCCAATAACATAATATATATTATTCTGAAATGGGCCAATCTGCATGATGAGCACTTTATCTTTTGATGCTAATATTTCTACACTTTAACTTGGGTAAGATTTTGAATGCACGTCTTTTACCTGCTACTTTTATTTAAAGGGATAGTTCACCCAAAAATGTAAATTCAGCCATTATCTACTCACCCATATGCCGAGGGAGGCTCAGGTGAAGTTTTAGAGTCCTCATATCACTTGCAGAGATCCAAGGGGAGAGGAGGTAGCAACACAACTCCACCTAATGGAGGCTGACGGCGCCCCAGATTCAAACGTCCAAAAACACATCATTGAAACCACAAAATATCTCCATACTGCTCGTCCGTAGTGATCCAAGTGTCCTGAAGCCCCGACATTAAAAGTTGTTTGGAAAAACCTCATTTGAACTCTGTTTTTAGCCTCATTGGAGCCTGTATCTCCACAAGTGATGTGAGGACTCTAAAACTTCACCTGAGCCTCCCTCGGCATATGGGTGAGTAGATAATGGCTGAATTTTCATTTCTGGGTGCACTATCCCTTTAACAACAAGAAATTAATGATATTAAAGTGTTTGATTAACTGTATGATTTTAAACTTGTGGGATGCCGTAGTTAGCCCGTTAGCTCCCATAGCTCATGCGTACAGCCCCGCCCACACCTCTTTGTTTCCTGTCCCACCTGCATCTGACGATCACAGATCACATATTAAACGTTTCCCATCTCTGAACAGCAGCTTCATGTAAAAAGGCCTGTGTGGAGTAAATGTGTGCAGATGAAAGACTGCTGCTGTGTGATGATGAAATGAAGCTCACATGTCTGACCGGAGGGAACATGGAGATGATCAGTTATTGGATTTATTTGGACTGGAACTAACACTTTTTCACTAACTAACGCTTAATTATCTCCCGCAGGAAGCCTGAAGGGACCGAACGTCATACAGTCGTGTGTGTTCATTCGTGCATCTGTCTGTCTGTCTGTCCAGAGCTAATCTTGCATACGACTCAAAGGTCCAGTGATCGAGCGCTTCCCAAATCTGTTTAACTCATATCTGTGCATGTGCGTGATCTCTCTCTCTCTGTGTCATAGTTTAGATCAGTAAATTTCACCCCAGTTGGTCGGACAGTCGTGGACCGTCTTCCCACACTGCATATTGTTTCCAGGAAGTTACAATATGTGACTAATATTTCACATTAAACTACATTATTCAAACACTCAAATTCAGAGTTTTATTGTGACTCTATGTGCCTTTGTAGATTTTAGTAAAGTAGCTTCAACATCAAACTCAATCAAACAGCAGCTAAACCTCCTCTTGAACCAGCCTGATGGGACGAACATGGAAAATATTAATATCTAGAAGAAGAATCTGCCTCTGCTTTACAAACAGCTGTCTGACCTTCAACGTCAGAGGTCACCTGAACCAAAACACACAGCGCTGCTCAGCTGGAGCCTCACAAGCACAAATACTGACTGTTAAAGAGTCACAAATAACAACAAGTGTTAGAGGAGGAGAATCTTTCAGTTGTGACGTTTATGTGTCAGCTGAAATGATCGGTTACTTTACAAAGGTTTAAAATCTAAATAGATCGGATTATACAGCATGCTTCATTGTTCTAGATTTCAGAAGGTGAAGTAGTTAGAGCAGCTCATACAACATTAAAATACAAACTAGTAAAGTGCCCTCAGTAGAGTTCACATCTCCACCAGGCAGCCGCTGAGCTGATCTCGTAACTCCAGCAGACTACACACACCTTGTCTGACTGAAACAGCCACAAATCCTTCATCCATGTTCATAACTGGACTTTAAACAGCCTGCAGACGACAAATGACCAAATCAACAAAACCTGCAGGTCTACAAAATCAGACAGGCCGACCACTTTGCCTCTGAAAGACTCCCAGTGTGGTATGACAGAACGAAACCGCAGGTGCACCCGGTGGAATTGTCCCTCCCGGCTTCCTTACAGTCAACATGGTGGTGAAGATAACACAAACATTCATCTCATATAGTGTCTAACTTTAGTGGATCATATCTGGATGGAATTAATCTGCAGATGCTCCGGTTCAAAATGAGACCAAACTTTTCTACACGTGTTGTCGAGCCACGACGAAGGCCAAACGAGTCCTGCAACAGACGATATGTAAAGTATGTTGCTTTTACCTACGATGATTTCTGGAAAACTTGTGGCCCCAACTGGCCGTTTGGGGCTGGTGACGGTACAAAACAGTCAATAAAACAGGTTTTTCAACTGTAATAATTCACCGTGTCCACCAGTAAGCAGTCATAAATGTGTACATGAAATATTAGGCTGATTGGTCCAGTAGTTTGTGAGATCAGTTCGTCTGCCACACAACATCACAGATGTTATTCCAAGTTTCATTTTGGAGCTATTTTTGAACAATAATGGGATCAAACATCCAAACAATAGCCATTAAACGTCTCAGTGTTTGCTGGGAGCTTTTTTACGAAAGCAACAATAAAGACAGTGTTTATTTTGTTTTTAATGAGTAGCGGTAAATATTTTGGTTCAAAACAAAATGTGGTTACAATTTAGGATGAACATGATGATTGCTGACCCTTCACGAGCCCCCTCAGAGGCTGGACCCCAGAGAGCTTTCCCCTTGTTTCCCTTCTGATACTACTAGACCAATCAGCCTAATAGTTTGTGTGCAAATGTATGACTTTATGCGCAGGACCTCTGATGGTCGCAGTGAATCACAATATTTGAAAAACCTGTTTTAGTGAGTGGACTGCTACTTTGTACTTTTACTGTAGGGTTGCATGATCATATCGGCACGCCATCGGTATCGGCCGATATTGGTTTTGAAATGAACTCTAGAATCGGCTGACATGCTTTTTTTTATTTTGCACAATGAATGAATATTACATTCACTGAAAAGTTTTTCATGTCTCTATCTGCTGGGGCTGTCACAATAAGAGTATGTACGTATAATTCCACTACAGAAGAGACTTTATGATGTCCAAAATTAGGTGGGAAAAATGGGTATATATCGATATCTTTATTGGTTATCAGCTGAATTAGTTGTTACGTATCGGCATATTGGATATTGGCAAAAAGTCCAATATCGTGCATCCCTTTTTTACTCTAGATAGATAGATAGATAGATCTTTCCATGTCCACAAAGCCCTGGTAGAGCTCAGTGCAATTAAACAATTAAAAAATGGGCAAATAAATATAAACTACAAACATTATTAAACACAAACAATTATAGAGACATAATCGATTCTACTGTAGCCTGATAAAATATGTATAGTGCAATAAAAGTACTGAGCTTGTGCTCCATCTCCAGTCAGTGCACACTGAGGGTTTGAGGGGACAGTGCAATAAATATGATAAAAAGTGAAAATGTCATCAACACATTAATGTACCAATAATTATTATTCTGACATGGGCCACTCTGCATGATGTGTACTTCTACTGCTGGTACTTTAAGAACATTTTGATGCTGATACTTTTGAAATAAGATTCTGAATCTAGGACTTTTACTTGGTTTTTACTACTGAACGTCTTCCACCTCTGGTACAGCAGTATTTTTACTGTGTGCTGCCTCAGAGTCAGGATACTTCGCTCACGATGCTTTACAGTGCTTCAGAAGGGAAAAACAAACACCTGAAGCTTCAGACTTCCAGAGGAACATTTCAGAAACATGAACACACACACACACACACACACACACACACACACACACACAGTTTGGTGCGTGTGCCCTGGTTTCTCTGCTGTAAATACACACCATGAATATTACATTCATTAAAAGAAGATCCAGAGCTCTCTGTGTCTGCAGCAACCTGCAGCCATCGACTGAATGAATCCATCAGGAGATCATTTTCCACGCCACACACACACACACTTAAACACACATGCACGCTCACACACACACGCACACACACGCACACAGCTGGCTGTGCTCATAAACAACCAGCTCTCTCTTCTCAATGTCAGCAGTTTACGCCAAATGCCGCTAGACCACACGCACACACATATGTATGTTCCACATGCGAACATGCTAAGCCCTCCATCACATGCACACACACACACACACTCACACACACACTCTCTGTCTCTCTCCCAGTCTGTCTCTGTGTGTCTCTACCTTTGTTCACCCTGCGCAGGATCTGGCAGCGACATTTAAACGACACGGCGATCATGGTGAAGCCGAGCCGAGCGTCGCCTCCCCCCCCAGCGCCATGCAGATGCAGCCGCCACAAACTACACCTCCTCTTACTCCTTCTTCCTCCTCCTCCTCCTCCTCCTCTTCCTCAGTGAGTGACCGTGTGATGGACGACCTCCTTCAAACAGAAACCATCATGGAGACGCTTCCTGAGGCTCGGCTGACGAGGGACAGAGGGAGGGAGAGGAGAGGAGAGGAAGAGCGCTGCAGATGTGAAGCTCCTCCATGAAATGAGGCAGCGGAGGAGGGAGGGAGGGAGGGAGGGAGGAGGCAGAGTCTGCGCAGATGGGAGGATGAAGAGGAGGAGGAGGAGGAGTGGGTGATGGAAAGGCAGAGGGAGGAGGGAGGCTGCTGGTTTGTAATGTGTTTCTGTGCAGCTGGATGGATGGAGGGATGAAGGAAAGGAAGTGGAGATAAATGAAAGGATGATGTAATGAATAAGATGAAAGGATGAATGTAAAGAATTCATGAGGGTAACAAAAAAGAAGAGAGGAATCAGCCAGGGAAGGAGGAAAGAAGAGAGGAAACGAATCTGAGGGGGAGAAGGAAGGAGGAAATAAAAGAAATAAAAGGGGGAAAAGCAAAGGAAGAAAGGAAAGAAAGAAATTTAACAAAAGGGAGGGAGAAGGAAAAATAAAATTAAGGAAAGAAAGAAATCTGAAAGAAAGAAGGAAGGATGAATGTAGGAAAGAAATATCAAAAGAAGAAATAGAGGAAATATCAAGGAATAAAAGAAATACAAAAAGAAGAAATGAAAGGAGACAGAAGGAAGAGCAAAGGAAGGGTGGAGAGAAGAAAGGATGGTAGAAAATAAAAAGGAAGAGAGAAAGATGGAGAGAATGAAGGGAAGATGCAAAGGAAGGAAGGACAAAAGAAAATTAAAAAGAAAAAGGGAAAGATGGAGGGAATAAAGGGAAGAGGGAAAGAGCGAAAGGAAGGAAGGAAAAGCAAAGGAAGGAAGGATGGACAGAGAGATAGAAGGAAGTTCAAAAGAAAGATGGGAAAGATGGAGGGATGGAAGAGAAAAGTCAAAGGGAGGAAGGAAACAAAAGGAAAGGAGGAAATAAATGAGGAAAGAGCAAAGGATGAAATTAATTTTTAAAGGAAGGGGAAAGGATGAAGGGAAGATGTATTTGAGGAAGGAAGGAAAGAAGACAGAAAGGGATGGAGGGACAGAGTAAATGAAGGATGGAAGCAAAAGAAGGAAAGAAGAAGGGATGAAAGAATGAGGAAGAGAGTAAATAAAGAAAGGACAGAAGCAAAGGAAGGAAAGAAGAGAGAAAGGGATGGAGAAAGGATGAAAGGATGGAGGGACAGAGTAAATGAAGGAAGCAAAAGGAGGAAAGAAGAAGGGGGATGAAATAATGGAGGAAGGAGTAAATAAAAAAGGACAAAATCAAAGGAAGGAAAGAACAGAGAGAGAGGAAGGAACAAAATACAAAAGGATGGAGGGATTAAATTAAGGAAAGAAGTAGCAATGGAAGGAAAGACGAAAGAAAGGAAAGAAATACAAATGGGTGGAGGAAGGGGGGAAATAATGGAAGGAAGGAAGCAAAGGGAGGAAAGACAGAATGATGGAGGGAAGAAGTAATTAAAAGTTGGAAGGAAACAAAGAAAGAAAATAAGAAAGAAAAGGAGGGGGCAAAGGAGAGATGGAGGAAGAGTCAAGGAAGGAAAGAGAAATAAAAGAGGAGGAAAATAAAGGAAAGAGGCGAGGGAAGGAAGAAAGGAAGGAAGGATGATAGATGCAACTCAATACTACACCTCCACTTTGTAACGAAAACTAAACTATAAATCTGTGGTCTCCCCGTCCGAGCTGAGGTAACCCTGATGACATCACTATGACATCATCAGGGGTATTTATTTTGATGCAGAAGACTACAAACATGACGTATCATCTGAAAAATGGAAGTAGCTACATGCCCATTAGCCCACAGCGTCATTAACAGGCGGCGACGACGCTTAAAGCACGTTGGACGATTCTGATAGATCATTTTAAAGCCGATATCGGCTGATACCGATAACGTGCCGATATGATCGTGCAAAAGTATTACGTAGTAGGAAATAAAAATACTAGTAAAATATCTCAAAATCACACGTAGCTTTTTGGTGCTGGAGGAAGTAATTCTCAGTCTTTCCTCAACGAAAACTAGAAGCACTTACTCATTTCCACATTTAACGTTTTTTTAGGGGTAAAACGTCAGAATTATCTGCTGCAAAATGTACGAAAAGGTGAAAAAGTTAACATCACGCAGAATGTCCTCAGAGTGTTATTATTACATAAATCATCTCTGCCAGGCGTAAACCTGGAGAGGATTATGTATTTGGTTGTATTTAAATTGTGTATCTGCCTGCAGCTGATCTCTCAAACTACTGGACCAATCAGCCTAATATTTTGTGTACACATTTATGACCGTACGCTCAAAGACCTTTCAAGGTTGCGTTGATTCGTAATAGTTGAAAAACCTGTTTTACTGACTGTTTTATGGAGTATAACTTTTTTTGATAAACATAGTGCGACTACATTTTTAATAAATGTTAAACAGAGTGATAAAAAGAATAAGTGTGTTCTCTTATAGAGTCCTGCTGCGTTACAGTGAACCTGACTGGGCTGTAGTCCACTGACATTTGCTGCTGGATGTGTGAGGATTTTATTTCCTGACAGAGTCTGAACCAGTAAGAGAACAGCCGGTCTCTCATCTGTGCTGTCATTGGCTGGGACTGGAGGAAGGGGCGTGTCCTCGTCCAGCAGGTAGTGAAGTGGTCAGATAAGTGGGTCAGTGTCCCAGCAGCAGATTACATGGGATTACTGTGTGTGTGTGTGTGTGTGTGTGTGTGTGTGTTCAGTGTGGTAACAGTATTAACAGTGATGTTACCATAACTGCAGCAGAATGCAGGTCAACCTTCTGCACTCATATTAAACACAGCTCTATGTGTGCGTGCGTGCGTGTGTGTGCGTGCGTGTGTGTGTGTGTGTGTGTGTGTGTGTGTCGTCGCTGTGAGCACACTGACATGATGAAATGTGTAATTATATAACTGAGTTTTGGTTCAGAGGTGTTCTGACCTGTGCTGCCCCCTGCTGCTCACACAGGTTATCAGCTGCACTCTGAGCCCATCTCGCCCCCTGCTGGAGACAACATGGCAGCACAGCAGGACGACAGCAGGGCAGCACTCTCTCTTTATCTGTGTGTTTAAATGTGTGTGTGCTGCTGTATTTATTTTTAACTGCAGTTACGTCACCTCTCTGTTGAAGTACTGAAGAAAAGCAGGTTTCAGGGCAGATGTGAAGGCTCAGGATTTACCTCTGTGAATGAAACTGATTTACTGACCTGGAGTTCCTGGAACTTTATCAACTAACCACCACCGCTACTGTTAATACTACTTTTAACACTGCTACTAGTATTAGTAGTCACAGTAGTAGTACTACTACTACTGTGACTACTATTACTCCTGCTACTGTTAATACTACTACTAGTACTACAAAAACAACAAAACTAAAACTACGTTTAAATGAAAAACCTGACAGACGACAGCTACTGGCACAACAAATAATGGTACTCCTGCTGCTACTGGTACAATCACTACTACATCAGAACCAGCTAAAGGCAATGAGAACCAGAGGAACCAGAACCACCTAAAACCAGCTAGAACCCCAAAATCAGAACCAGCCAAACCCTGTAATAACCATGTAGGGCCAGAACCACTCAAAACCAGTCTAAACAAGAAGAACAGAACCAGCACAAACCATGTAGAACCTGAAACCACAACCTGCTAAAACCAGCTGGAACCCTAGAAATCATAGAAGAACCAGTCTTCACAAGGAAATCAGAACCTGCCATAAACATGTAGAACCACATAAATAAGAACCAGTCCAAGCCAAGTAGAGCCAGGAAGTCAGAACCAGCCTACACAAGGAAATCAGAACCAGCCAAAACCATGTGGAACCAGGAAATCCAAATCAGCCTAAAACATAGTAGAACCGCATAAATCAGAGCCAGCACAAACCACATGTAACCACAGAAACCAGAACCAGCTAAAACCAAGTAAAATGACAGAAATCAGAACTGGCCAAAACTATGTAGAACCAGAGAAACCAGAACCTGCCGACACCAGCTAGAACCCCAGAGATCAGAACCAGCCAAAGCTATGTAGAGCCAGGGAATCAGAACCAGCACAAACCATGCAGAACCGCAGAAATCAGAACCACCTGAAACCTTGTAGAACCAGAGAAATCAGAACCAGACAAAGCTATGTAGAGCCAGGAAATCAGAACCAATGAAAACCATGTAGAACCAGAGAAATCAGAACCAGCTAAAACCTTGTAGAACCAGAGAAATCAGAACCAGCTAAAACCATGTAGAACCAGAGAAATCAGAACCAGCTAAAACCTTGTAGAACCAGAGAAATCAGAACCAACTAAAACTATGTGGAGCCAGGAACAAGAACCAGTGTTCCACAGCAGGTGTTTACAGGTGTCTCAGTTTATATGAATATTCTAATTAGAGTAATTAAATTACAATATTACATTTACAGCCAGAAAATAAAAGTAACCTGCAGTAAAGTCCTTCCACGTGTGCTGTTAACACCAGCAGGACTAAATACTTGTAATATAATATAAATACTTGTAATATAATATAAATACTTGTAATATAATATAAATACTTGTAATATAATCTAATCTCTTCCTGTTTACAGTCACACAGGTCTGACACTTGTCCCTGTGTGCACATCAGAGGTAATAATACTGTATAATGAGCAGACGAAGCCCGTCCTACTGCCGTCACATCAACCAGCACCCCCCCAAAACACACACACACACACACACACACACACACACAACGGCTGCAGCTGTTACCATGGAAACAAGCTGATGAATAATTGAGGGGAAGAGAGCGACCCTGCACCGTACAAAGAGTGATTTTGAGAGATGAAAGAAGTGTTCTCACACACACACACACACACACTAATGCAAACACATGCACGCACAAACACACACATACACACACACACACACACACATTACAGGTTATCATCACAGCCTCCAGCATTTCAAAATAACCAAATCAGAGTATAACACTGACAGTGTGTGTGTGTGTGTGTGTGTGTGCATGTCAACACCCACCGCCCAAAGTTAAACACGTGGGTTTGAGTCACCGTGACATCTCCTTATGTAAGAGCACACACACACACACACACACACACACACACACACACACACACACAGAGTGA